AATAAAAATTGACATCGTTTCATTTCTTTTGTACAACAATCCTTTTGTTTGAAGATGATCATCTGACTGCCCAGTCTTCCTTGCCAAAATGTTTGAAAGTGGCTGCGCTATAACTAAATAGAATTGCATTTACTTGGAGCAAGGAGCATATGTCTGCTGAGTGCTAGTTTTATCAAAGAAGAGGATAGATCCCAAAGGGAAAATTACCTTGGAGCCACTGGAAAATCATGAGAAAAGCCAGAGAGGTAGTGGAAGTTTTGAGTAGGATACTGAACGATGCCTTGCTGCTTGTAGCACATCATTTTTGTCCTTGATTTTGTTTTCATTTATTTTTAGTCCTTTTTTATTTTTATCGCTTGCCATATATGCGAGAACAATCTTCAATTGCTTTAGTGTTCTTTTAACTATGATGGTAGATGGCTGGTGCCAGGGACTCAGGTTTGGGAACTCGAAGGTCAGCTAATGAGGGCAGAGGTGTACCTGTCCATTGCAACAATGAAATGCGGTCGGGGCAGAGATGGTTATATTAAAGAATTATCATTTTACGTAAATACGCAGCTAATTAGAATTCTGAACCGTCAAAATCGTCAATTTTTCCCTAAACGCTCATTTCAGCTTCTTACATGACTTAAAAATTCTAACACAACTTTCAGTCACTCAGGGAAACCAAAATTAGATCAGGGAGTGTACCTCTACTCCAAGCTGCTGAGTTTGTGGAAGGTCCAGGATCTTTGTTATTCCACGTGCTTACATGGTCATTCTGCAATCATTCCTGGAAAACGCACATGCTTTCACCACTCAAGTGCCATGACCATCGTAGAGAGAGATTTTACACAGATGCAGAGAGTTATTCTTAGAGAGTTTTTAAGACTCAAGTTCTGATCCATGTACTGGCTAGTTGGTTTTCCTTTTGAAAACTAGCTAGCAAGTTCATGGATCGGAACTCTCAGTCTGAAAAAACTGATGAGCTGGTTTTTTATTGGCAAAGTTCCCGTTGATTTAGAGGACATAATCCTGCATTATGCAGTACATGACCATGATATTGCCTTTTCCCTCTGTTATGCATTGACAGTCATCAGTTTGCACATGTATTAGAGTCCTTCTTGCTAGTGGATTCTATATTTACATGTATGACAACTGCAATGTTCTTCCTCGAATTCGCTTCAGATTGGAAAGCAGAAGTTAGGGCATCGTGGGAGTATGCATGCATGTTCATTATGCCCCTACTGATGCCTGCATATAATTGGTAGAAAACTGCATGCAGGTAATGTATGGGCAAATTTATGGATTTTATGTCCCTGATGACCTGAGGTAAAAACAGTAACAAGGACCGAAGTCTTTCACTAGTTGTTCTCACGGGGATGGATTCATGTAACATTACTTTTCAGAGATACACGTGCCACGTAATGGATTTATGCCTTCTCTTTGGCTTGCTTTCTATATAATGAACTTGAATTTCTAGCATAACCAAAAAATATTTTATATCAGAACTAAATTAATTATGAAGCAATTCTATTATTTGTTTATCGTCCTCTCTGTGCTGTACATTTTATATTGTAGGGTTGATGGTTGTGATCCTGATTATGGTGGCTGTCGATGAAGCAATGATGCGAGTGGTTGCAATTGTGATGATAATGGCGGGGACTGTGACCGTGGACAAGATCAATGTGGTGGTGGTGGCCAAATGGGAAGGTGGAGGAGGGTAGGGTGGATTCGGCAGTGGTTTTGGTTTTGGATGTGGCAGTTATGGAGGAAGAGGAGATGCTGGTGGAGGTGGCGGTGGAGGTGGAGGTGATCATGGTCAACGGTGCTCCAAGCTAGGATGTCAAATGTATGTTGGATGCAGAGCCAGCTTGGTTTAATTTTTCAATGCTCGCATCAGTGCCTATTCCATGATGTTTCCATTTTGTAATACACGCACAAACCCTTCAATTTTGTGTGCATCTAGCAAAACTGTCTTTCATTATCTTAGTTTGTTTTCAGGTGGTAAGGTTGTTGCATTAGCAGTCCATCTCAAGGGTTGCGCATGCATATCACTCTCATACATGCTACCTTAATTCTCGTAATGTTTATCTTGTAGTAGATGACAGTGTCTTGAATAAATACACAATAATTATATATGTGATTGCTACTGACTTAATTATCTTACACTGTCTGAATTTTCCTTTCAATGGGTCATATCAGTTGCTTTCATAGCATTTGGCTAGCTAGCTAGACACAGTCAGGCCTGTGACAGCAACAAAGGCAATGCCTATCTCCACCATTTTGACTTTTGCTTTTCTTTAATTTGGAGTTAATGTATAAATATTCTTCTGTCTGGGATTTATTGTCAATAAATGCACATTAGACTGATCTGAACCGCTGCTTGACACTGCCTGCACAGGTGGTTTACATGCAAAATTCGAGTTCTGATTTTACCTGACACGTAATAGTCGAATCGAAGAACAACTTCTTAGAAAGATTAAATAATAAAAGCTGAAACTGCATGCAAATTTTTCCTTTTAGATAGAAAACGGATGATTGGACTCTCTTATATATGATTTTAAACTGTGTTTCAATTAGCGAAACTACGTTGAATGGTGGGGGCGATGACATCCCAAACTTCAAGAAAATTTTACATTTTATTGTTAGAATTTTGAACATTTTTAATTATATTCTTCAATTTTATATATTTTACACCCAAATTAAAAGTCAATTACTTTCTTATCCATCCTCCAATTCTAATTATAAACAAGCAAGCGAAGCATAACACATAAATTCTCAATCAAGTTCATATACCAATACCTACTATTTCATCTTGAATAATAAAATATGGCACGCATTCCACCTCCCAGCCTTACTGCAAGGAATTGGTCACCCTTTTATTTCTCTGTAAAAGTCCTTGACAATCACTAATAACTCCTGGGATATTATGAATCGAGCATGATAAATTCACTTCAAACATATACAAATGTTATAAACCAACTATAGGTATTCAATAAATGGACGAAAACATGATAAAAGAGAGAGGTAAAAAAACACCTTGCAAGCTGTTGAAAAATCAGCCGGAAGGTAGACACATGATGTGTGTGGTGGTGGTGGTGGTGGTGGTTTGAAAGGAGTTGGCTGGGACAAATTGGGAGTGACTTGATCTATCTATTCGTCAATGGAGGTGGTGGTGTTCACCACCAACCAACGAGGGAGATCTAGTCGTGTTCTTCCTCGGGTTAATTTGCTTCTCGTCTCTTTTTTCACTAGGGTTGTGCTGGTGGTGGTTGTTACAATTATTGGCTTGAGTAGCGTCAATTGGTGATTTGGTGGCTTGTTGCTCTATTTGGGGGATAGAGTCTTGGTATGGAAAATGGCATGAATTTGGGTGGTGTCTCGTGCTGGTTTGTTACTAGGTCTTGGGTTGAAATAGGAGCGGTTTTGCTAGTGGTGCCTGCTAAGATCTATGGCTGGAGTATGGGTGCTCGCGAGTAGGTCTGATGGTTGGATGGAGTTTTGGGGTTTTGATGCTTTTTTTTTTTTTTGGTTATTGCTTGTTATTGTTGGTGGCCATTCGAGATTGTATATCTTTTTTTTCACGTTGAAAATAAATATTTTTAATTAAATATTTATAATATAAATATGAACTTTTATTATGAAGTAAATTAAATAAAAGTAATGATGAATGAATTCTTTTAATAAACTTTTTAATATTATTATATAAATATTTAATATATTAATATTAAAATTAATTAATTTTGATATTTATAATGGTTAGATAAAACTGAATATTATTTAGTTTAATTTAAAATATAATTATTTTATTAATAATTATAATATTAAAAGATATAATGGTTGATTGTAATATTTTAAAGTCTAGTAGAACCATATATATATATATATATATATATATATATATATATAATTTTAGAAGTTTAGAGAATTTAGTATTTCTATATAAAATAAATAAATTAAAAATAATATTTTTACTCTTCATAACTAATTCTTTAATTATTCATTTCAAACATAAATAATTTTTTTAATAGTTGTTGTGGTGGATTTAGATGAGGTTTTAGGGTTTTGATGGCAATTTAGGGGGGTTGGGGATGGTGATTCAGGTAGTTGTTTAAGGAGATGCGGCGGTGGTTCCAGCTTCCAAGTGAGGAGATGGAAGGGTGTTTTAGTATTTTACTGGTGATTAAGGGGTGGTGTTGGATGTTTTCGATGGTTGGTTCTCTTAGGAAAGATGAAAGGGAAAATCGATAGGAAAGTTGAATGTTTTTGTTTTATGTATTTTTTCTGATGTGCATGCCCTTCCTTGCACAAATGATGAATTTATAAGGAAAATTTTAAGGCAATACCTTGCTTAGAGTATTTGATTTGGGTATTTGGAAATTATTGAACTAGTCTGGGAATTAATAGAATAAAATTGAAAAAAGGAAAACATGATCATGTCTGCTTATATTTTTTTATCTTTTTTTTTTCATTAATCTCTCTTTTTTCTTATTATTCTCTCATGTTTTTACTTGCCTGCTAAAGCGTCATAAAATCTATAGATATTCAAAATTTGATATCTTGCGAAGCGATTAAAATCTCTACAAAAAATCAGAGAAACTCAGGTGTAATTTTGTTTTCTTGAAAAATATGTGAAGTTCCATGAAAATATTTAGTTTTTAGGATTTTCACAAATCTTGCAAGGAAAATTTTCTTATAAACTAGAAGTAAAAAAGGGGTTACGACAATAGCCAACTCCGGTGGCATGCCCTGGCTACTGGCTACGTATACTATCACAAAATCTAATATATAGTTCGATCATGGGAGCATAAATTAAGCAAAAGGTGTGCCTGAAATATCATAACCAAAGCGCGAAAGCCTGGCATGCATGCATGCATGGTTCTGGTTTTGTTTTCTTGTTCACAAATCACACAGCTAACTAACTAATTATGCCAAGAGACAAGTAACTACAATGATAAATCCCAGCTGGGACAAAATTAACACACGAGGTTTTGCTAAAACACGAAGGCAACAACTCCAATTATCATTGAAACATAAAGATAACAACACCTACAGCATAAGATGTGTCCAAGGAAACAACTATTTGACAAGGATAATAACTCGCGCTTAACACAACGACCTGTCTCAGATAGTTCCCTAAAACACCAAACCAAGCAAAACCATATTGAAACTAATTATATATTGACTTAAGGGGATGGTAGAGCCGAACCACCAGCACCACCAGCTGAAGGGGATGGTAGAGCCGAACCACCAGCTGCACCTCCTACACCACCGAGACCAGTGCCAGTGCCAAGGCCAGCAACACCTCCTATTCCACCAACCCCTCCAACCCCTCCATATTTGCCAATTCCACCAAGGCCACCAATAACTGGCAGACCGCCAATGATACCAGCATAACCTCCCATTCCAGCAAAGCCACCAACACCACCATAGATGAAATTCTTTTTGTCTTTAAGGCCAGTGCTGCTAGGTGAATCGGCAGCTGGTGCACTAGCATGCAATACTTGCTCTTCATTAGGGACAACATTATTGCTATCAAGATCAGCATCACTTGGAACATTACGTGCTGCAGTTGCATGCACAAATGCTAAAACAAGCACAAAAATCACAACCGAGCTAGCCATCGCCCTCTCTCTTTCTCTCTGATATACTTTTGAAGCAATACTTGAGCTATTGTTGTTGCATGGATGTGGATTTTATAAGGATTTGAAGGGTGGGTAACGGTTGAGGATAATAAAGGGGTTATAGTAAATGACAATGAGACATAGCTCTCGTAATCTCGAAAAGGGAAATTCTTTGAAATTAGAACCAGAGAGTTAGGTGAATCAAAGGTAGTAAAATTTAAGGAAGTCATGTGTCATGTCATCCAAGTGAATTGCCAGGTTTGTCTTCTGTGTTAAGCCTCATTAAACAGGCCAAATACATGTATTTTTGTCCTTGGGACAGAGTACGGATTAAGAGATTCTGAAACGATCATCCTTCATATATATATATATATATATATAGACACACATACAAGTTACGTGTCGTAATACATTGCTAGTTAATTTTTTTCATAAAAATATTTTAAAAAAATTAAATTTAAGAATATTAATTTTTTTATAAAATTATATCCAACAATCTTTAATTTAGTTGTAACATTTGATCCAAAAATAATATTATAATATTTATAATAATATTAAATTTACATAATTTAAATTTAAGTAAATTTAGTTATAGATCTAAAAATTTTAAATGTAGGTTTGGTTATCGCATTATAAAAATATAATAAATAAATATAATTTTTAAATGTAGGTTTGGTTATCGTATTATAAAAATATAATAAATAAATATAATATTATATAATAAAATTGTATTATAAAAATATAATAAATAAATATAATATTATATAATAAAATTAAATGAAAAAATAATAAAATAAAATATTATTCTAATAAATAATACTTTATTAATAGAGGTAAAATAAAAAAAAATCAAGTAAGCATATGTAAAGCTACATTTGATTATGGTAAAACCCAGTTCAAACAATAATGCAACCAAAGCCAAGGTAGCCTCTGTTGGGTTTGGTTTGACGAGTCAAATCAAACTCTATATTAGACTAGTTTTAACCTAAAAGAAGTCCTACCGAGGAAAACTCGTACTACAATTTTTATATATATATTTCTTTTTGAACCCTCGTCATCAAGTCCCCCGGAAACGAAGTTATGATGAGAAGGTATGGACCGAGCAATGGAGGAGAGATGTCCAAACAATCTGACCTGGCACTCCTCAGCTCACTTACTATTCAGGTTAAGCCTCTAAGGATGAATTGATAAGCTATGGAAGCATGGAGAAAAAGGTGCACAGAATGGGATCCAATTCTCCCGGAAACAAAAGATTGACCCGCGAAAGATGGATCACCACAATGGAGGTAACCGACCAGAGGGCAGAGAAGCATTCCAGAGACTGACAAGTGGAAGTGGTTTCATTGGGACCTGTAAAGTAATTTAACCTTGCTGGTTTTCACTTGAAAAGGAGAACAACAATCAAAAACTAGCTTAGCATATTTAGCATACCAGGAAGATGTCAACCCTGAAAATTACCTCAATGCTTTCCAAATTCCTGACCGCCAGAGGGAAAACGACAAGCATTGGGAGCCCGAGCCATCGTGTTTTTGTCACTGCCACTTCTAGACCACTGCAAGTGAGTTGCCTGTAATTTCTGGCATATATAAACATGTTTGTGTGTACGTGTGTCTGGACAATTTTGTTCAGTTTTTTGTTCACATTCATTCATATTTTATACCTTAAAAACTGTAAGAAAGAGATTAGTTTTCTCGTTCAAATTTTCTTCAATTCAATAACATTCTTGGATTACGATGCATAGCTACAACAAAGGCATGTTCCTCTAAACCCGTAGAGAAGACAATGTGTGTGGTCTCTAACCAATTCAAATCCTCAAATCCATCCACTTTTTTCACTGAAAATTACTAAGTAAACAAACGGGCCATGCTTTTGATTAACTAATTAAAACACATCATGATCGATCATTCATTTTTATAACTTTGTATGAAAGATTTGGAGTATATAGTGCTTTTTTTTCTCCAAAAAGTTTAACAAGATCTACAGGACAAAAAGGATAAACAGACAGCAGAGGCATGTCAGAGTGTAACTGAGGCAGCAGAATCAGTTAAAGACGGTGCAAGATCAGTGAAGAAAGCTGCTGAAACTGTAAGAGCAGTGTTAATGAACATCATTCTGTACTGAAATGTGGATATATATACATGGACTTCAATCAAAAAACGTATTAATTGTGTATAAATTATAGAGAATATTAATAAATCTGTTATTGTTTTGTGCGACAGGTGACAAATATGAGTAAGGAGGTGACAAAAAAAGTATCTGAAACTGCAGAAGCCATCACAGACAAGGCTGCTTCAATTATCAAGGAAAAAGTAGTTGGCAAGTAGATTGATGCTTGCAGTCATGATCAAGAACACAACGAGACTAATATTTTCATTTCTATTAGTTTCTTAATTCCTTCAACTTTTTGTAACTTGCCTTTTCGCAAGTTGATAAATGTTCGATTTTCTCTGTTTTTTACCTTCTTAATTTAATTCTCTCCGCAAAACTAAAGTAGACATTATAATAAACTAATGTAACGTAGACATTATAATAAACTAAAGACCTTAAGCTAGATGCAACGCCTCTTGGGACGTCCGTGCATGATCTTGGGTTTAGATGCCCTGCTTTTGATTCAAAATATATTAGGGCCGGGTGAGCTATGGCTGTATCATCAACAATATCAGATTATACCTAGAACTGAAGTTGCTGCAATAAACATGCATGGGCCGGCAACGTTTAGAGGCACCAGGACATGGCTAATTAAGTGATCCTAGGTAGGAATTCTGTGAACGGGCAGACAATACCTCATCTAACCTGACGTCCATGCCCAATTAAGTGATTGAGTTGAGAACTATTACCATCTGTCATTAGAAACACCATATAAAGACAAAGTAACCCTGCAATATATAGAACAGACAAGTTACATTATGTGGCAATACACAAGATGGTGCGCGCGCTTCAGCATTGCCAAGTCTCGCCACTGCCTGGCACCATCTCTGAGAAGTCACTACCTTCAACCTTTTTTTGATCTTATGTATTTGCATATTTTTCCTATCCAGAAACTATTCTTTTTTGAATTCCCAATTTCTGAGGATCATTTTCATCAATATGTCATTCCAACCCTTAACCATTACACTTTCTGTCACTCTCAAACACTTCTTCCCTTGGCTGGAAACTTGGCATTTCCTTCCAATTCCAGCAAGCCTGAAATTGTTAAAAAGATGGCGACTCGGTCACACTAATCTTCGCCGAGTGTGGTAATGATTTTAACCATCTTGTAGAAAATTATGCTAGAAATGCATCTGATTTCCATGATCTTCTAGCTCAACTACGCCAGGGTCCATGTCAAACGACACGCTGTTCTGGTACTACCATCTCAAATTTCATATATAAGGTCATGATCAGGAGGAAAAGAAAAACTTTTAGTGGGATTACTACCATGCTACGATGGGGCTCCTGTCAAAGATCATAAAAGGGCTCGAACTTGAAGCTATTTTTTGGAACCTGCCGAAGACCAAGAAAATATGAAGAGCCACACAACCTAGAATACCAAGAAACAAGGTTCGAGCCACTTTCGTGATGAGTCAAGCTCGTTCAACAACTTAGAAAACGTGTTACAGCCCTGTGCCCCTCTTTACCACATGTATCAACTTTCACAGTCACATTTAGTTATGCTTGGTCGTGTATGGTTAAGGCAAGAGCAGAAAATGAAGAAAAGAGGTGGATAAGGATGAAGAGGAGTACTTTCAGTTCCTTGCGCGTACATCGTCCTTTTCTGAGTCGGCCTCACTCTGCTTCTCAAACATTAAAAAAAGAAAGAAAACTCTCACCCATTCTACAGAACACCACTCTCGATCCGCTCCATGATTCAAAAAAAAAAAATCATTCCTTTTTGAAAATCTTTGCTTTGCTATCCCATTCATGATAAGATCTTGTTTTCAAAATAGAGGGTTATGAAAAAATTGCATGGCCAAATTTAATTGGTGAGGAATAAAATAGGTCATCAAAGTAGTGAAATGAATATTTCAATTAAATCGCCCCAAAAAAATCATAAAGAACTTTAGAGAAATTAAGTATAAAATATTCATTTCACACCGATGCCTCAAAATATGGTTGATTTTGTTCTCTTAGACCAATTATTTTTGTTAATTTGACATTACTCAAAATATATAATTTATTTTTTCCTCGTGAAATATGTACAATATGGAAAAATATCGTATTAAATTAACTGCCTCAGTTAAAGATATATTCAAACATAATTCGAATTAAAATGTAAATAAAATAGTTTAATGTACCACTACACGGTGATGGTGTAGTGTCATGAAATAATTTCGCGTAAAAATCTACAAGCGTAATGGTGTTCGGAAACATACACTAGTATGCTCAGTTCCCAGAAGGGCAAGAAGGATGGCAGAGAGGACCCAGCAAAGCAACGAAACTGGGGTTGAAGGGAAGCATCAAAAGTGATGAGCAATGTCCCGTTCTTTAGTGTTTTTTTTTTTTCACGTAAATATCCTGATCAATTTACGCATACGTTGAGTAATCTTAATCTTGCCAGTTCTTAATCTTGCCAATATGGTCGTGGTCTATCTCTTGAGGCACAAAAATTCAAAGAGCAATTGCAGATCAATTATCCAGTAATAACAAACATAAGATGAAATTATGAGGCCATGCATTGGGCCACGTGGTTGCATATGATAGTGCTAGACACCAACTACAGTCTTCACTGCTGATGATAGTGCAGTCCTTTCCAGGCGTAAAGTTGTGCCTCTGCTAAAGTAGCTCAGCAGTCTAAGATCTTTGGAAAGGTAAAAATGGACTGTGTGCGAATTTGGAATCTAATTCTTTGATGTTAATTGCCCAACTGGGAAATGAGAAAAAGTTTAGACCCAGACCCCGTTTATGCACGGACAGGGTGCCTAGTCATGAAGGGAATCAGAGACCCGACCCATCATGAGACCCACCCCATTGGAGTTTAATGGTCAATCCAATGACTTGATGTTTGAGCCAGTCAATCTTTTGTGAACTTTCCACTTGATAATTCCTTTCTATCCATCCTAGAAATGTCTTGATTTGAATACTCTTCTCACTACTCAGCTTTATTACTAGGAAATGATATGTCGACCTGCTATACTCTCTCCAGTGAACCAGAAAGCAGTCCCAACTCTTTGCTCAGCCAGTGGCAGGGCCCCTGGGAGAAACCTGAGCAACTAAGAAGAGATGCTAGCAT